GGGCGTAGCGAGAACGAAGAACTTTGTAGTTCAGTGTAACCCGCCTGCAAACGTAATGTAGCGCGGGCGACCACGGAAGGAATCGTTCGCAAGAGGAAGAAAGGTAAAGCTGCCGGGAGAGGAGGAAATAGAAAATAAGAGGGAAGGCAAAAGGGAAGAGAGGGAGCGCGCTGGGAGGGAAATGGAGGGGGAGGGGGGGGATCTGTAATTCAGCACTAAACAGCTGTGAGCTGACAGCCCGACTGAATGGAGCTCTCGCGCGCCCCGCAGAAATGGAGAAGGGAACCCAGGGAGGGGGTCCTCGTGGGGAGTGGGGAGAGCTCTTTCGAGGTTTTGTCCATTTACCGCCCGCTTTCGGAACGGCTGGTTTGAACCGGGCCGCCGCGCTTCTACGACGGAACGCCGAGCAACCCACCCGCGCGACGCTCTCTGCTCTCGAGCAGCCGTGAAAAATTTCGTCGAGCCCTACCGTGAAGCGAGTAGGGGGCTTGTGGCGGGACCCTCGGGGGGACAGCAGAAAAAAGAGGGGAGGGGGCTGAAGAAAGAAAAGAGTGAAATATTCGCGATGCCGCAGTGTGTGTGTGTTTGTGCGTGCGTGTGTGTGTGTTGTTGTGTAGTCGAGGCCAAAATGGAGGGCCGGCTGTCGTACGGCGTGAACTATGGTCTGGTGCGGACAGTTGTAGCTATCCGGGAGAGGGGGGGGGGGGGGACAGACAAGCTGCGGTTTTAGGCGCAGGGTTGGGTCCGCCGTGAAAACGCCCCCTGGCGTGGTTTTTTTTCGTCACGGCGCGCTTGGCTGGTTTGTGTGCGTGGCGCGGTTCGCGCACGCGGTGTGGCTACGGGGTGTTGGAACCCGGGGAGGGGGGGGGGGGGGGGGGGCACATCGTCCGGGACCTCCGAGTTATAAGGGTGATCGATTCGAGCGTTTTGCTGGGATTGTCGGCCGACGTCTTCTCTTTTGAGCGATGGCGCGATTGTTGAGGTTACGGCGACTGGACTTTTGTTTCGGAGTGTGACCTTTCGAGCGATCCGTGACGGCGTGACTTGTACAAGTCGTGACTCGAGAAGGGACAACTGTGTTTTGACGATTCGACGTTGCTTGGACTGGCTGCACTTTGAAAACGCCCGCGCGTCTATACTTTGTGGCATAACAGGCGGTGGGCCAATCACTGCGGTCTTCGGAAAGCCTCCGGCCAATGATGTCGTGCGAGAATCGGATGGCGGCGAAAGACGCGATCTGTTCATTTTCAATGAGGCAGCGAAGTGTCAAGCGTACTTTTCCTAACCAGATCGCATTTTCGATCCCAATTCGTTGTTTTCGAGGCGCGGTATTCGCTGGAAGCGATCGGTGGATAACAGTAATTTGATCCATCGCGTGCTTTACGAAAACGTAAGAAGCGTGCAGGCTTTTTTTTCATTTTTAAGGCATGACTTGCGTTCTGTGTGTAGTTCACGCTCACATTCCAAAGTGACAAGCATCGAGGACCAAAATGCCTCGGTGTTACGTAAGTTCGCTTTTTTTTTTTTCCGTGACCAACTGACGTTCGCGTACCAACTCGAATCTTTTAAATTTTATCGTCACGCCATCTACCTAGGTGCTGTGTTGCTCGCGTCACCGTGCACTGGCAGGCGCTTCAGATTGTTCCGTGTCTCATCAGCCCCAGGACGGCACATAACCGTGGGCACGAAGTTGGCGAGGTAACCTAACGCTTGGTAATGGATCCACCTGTGTCTGATGTCCATTCACATGAAATGCGCGCACCTATATAGCGTATATAACAACAATGACATCTACATTTTCTGCGCGGATGCAGACATTCGCTCGATGATACGGCAGGAATCGACAGACGTATACGTCTGCCGATTCCTGCTCTTTTTGCTACCGTCACCGATAACTTAGCAAACGCAGGGTGCTTCGAGTGCCGGCCGTCTCATGGCACTTCAGTCAGCAGAATTGTGGGATTAGCCGACGGGAAAGTCGAAAAAGGAATCGTGAAGCAAGAAACGTGAACACAATAAACCAAGCCCTGCATTTTTTAGCCTGTCGGTGGGTGCAATTCTCCCTTTGAGCCCCTCGGCAGTTAATGCCGTGTTTTATTACGTGGAAGCCGGACGCTATAAAATACGCGCCGTCATTCGTATCACGACGCTGTCACTGCGTAGCTATGTAGCATTCCCTCTGTGAAAGCGTCTCTATCCTCGGCTAACCTTTCCCTTCGTAGCAAAATATCTGGCCCATGTTTGTTTCGCCAAATGTATCGCTCTATGCCGACAGTTCACCAAGCACTGTTTAAAAAAAAAAAAAAACATCTTAGGTATCCTCGCGCCCCAATCATCGACCAAAAGTGAGAATTTCCCATTGCAGCTTTTAATGCCTCCTCCTTGTTATCTCAAACCTCCGTTGGTTGGAATCGCCTTCCCGCAGCCATAGTTTCAATTACTAACACCGCGGGTTTTAAAATTGCAATTACTAATTTCTTAAATGATGTTTCGTAGTAATTTGGTATCTTTGCTGTTTTTATTTGATTTTTATGTTTATGTTACAGCGCCCACTTTCCTCTGGAATGCCTTCGGGCCATGACAGAAAAATACACGAAATGAAATTATGTCACGACTCCTGCATACATATCGACGATAGCGACGTCAAATTTTACCTGCGTTCATATAGTTTCAAAGCGTGTCGTAGACATGTTATTTTCGTCTCGACAAAAGCTTCAACTCCTCGATTCTAGTGAACACTCCTCGCGAACATATACAGGATCACGAGGTTCCTCCGACGAGTTCTTGTCGGTGATCTTCGCCACGACCATGTCCAAGTGCCTGTCGTTATACCCAGTTTCAGCATAACTAGTCCAAAGTCGAAAGCTACAGCTGCGTGAGCTCATTGGAAGGACGGTGGAAAACACGCGAGAGCTCACCACAGGTAAAGTGCGCTCACCAAAGGTATACATTCTTTGCGCCTGGCATCGAAGCTCCGTCTGGTTTGTCGGGTTCACAGCTTTATGCCCTCTTCCTACTGTGCCTAGGGGTCAGTGTTGTACGGAACGGCGTTCCAAGGAATGGCGTTCCTGGAACGCGTTCCTTTTAGCAGGAACGAAGGAACGCCGCCATTCCATTTTTCATCGGTGGAACTGGAACGGAGCTCGTTACATTTTTACGGGAACAGAAAAAGGAACGGCGTTCCTTTTTCTCGTCCTGTGGGGTACTTTGTATTCTATTTCTAAGAGGGAACTTCTAAAGAAATGAAAACAATATCTTTATGAAGAGCAGAATCTCGATGACGTTTTGGTTACTTATCTTAGGGTTTAATTTGTGTGGCCCTCGCTTGGTAACAGCCGGGTGCAGGATAACTAGTGGATATCAATCCTTTTTTCAGTGCCCGAGAGGTACAATAAGCAAAACTTTTAATCGAAGGAAAAGACACAGAAAGAGGGACGTTTCAAACTTAGCTACTTCCTTTGTTTCCACTAATCCTCATACACCCAGAAATCTAAGGCCGACTACAGCTATCACTAAACATCCACAAAGTGACCTACAGTTACAACAAAATAGCAGGTTACCAGACATCGAACGCACGCTTGTATCCCGAATATTGGTCGCTTAAAATGAACACAAAAATTAACCTTTATTCCTTCTCCCCTCGTCCCCCATCTTCAAACTGAACAACGAATCCTAGCTTCACGAAGAAGGACTTGCAACTTTCAAGGCTGATCTTCCAAAAGCCCTGCCCTCTTCTTCACTTGCTCGTTTTGCGGAGAGCAACATAGAGAAGCAACTGTTGTTGAGTTCGAACTAGCGACTTTGTTAGATTTAAACGTGCGAGTTTGCTGTAAAAGACCGCGTGCATTGTGGGGTAACAGTACAATTGGCTCGTCTGAATAGCCCACCACAAACGTGAATATGGTTAAAAGATTAGATTTTTAAAGGTGAATATATCAACCAATGAAACCCTGCTTCCGCTTTTCCTCTTCTTGTGCCCTTCCATCATGGCATTCAAATCGGTATGTTCTTATTTAATGGATAGATAAAAAAAATCTTTCCTCGATTTAATTATATATGGCAATCAGCAAAATGCATATGTAACGTAAATGTGACGAAACGTTCCATTTTTAACTGTAACGGGAACGAGTTCCTTTTTCTGATATGGAACTTGTAACGGGAACGCGTTCCAAAAATCAGAAGGAACGAGGAACGATTTTCTGTTCCCCTTTTTGAGGAACGTGTTCAACACTTCTATGGGTATATAGAGTTGGGCAACGTTATAGTCACCGAATTCGTGGACTTTGTTTTAATGGTTATGGGAGCTTATGTTATAATCAGTAGGAAACTTGCACTGCGTTGTTTGTTGCTGTTCTTGTATGGCCTCAGCCTCGTTGCTTTTCTGCCTACGGACTGCTGATTTGTTTGTCTTCTTTTTGTTACTTTTCTGTTATTATATATTTGTGGTTCTTCTCATCCAGCTTGAATTACTTTGGTCAGAAGTATCAAATAAATAAATAAATAAAGATATATATTAATGATTGCAACACGCGCATCGTGGTGTGAGCAAATGCGTGCCTTGTTTGAAAATAAAAAGCGGTTTTTAGATAGCCCTTTTTTCTAAAAAGTAGCCTTATGTTTGTTTGGCGAAAAATAAGTAAAATATGGGGCTAGCTTGAACAGAACCTTTTAGAAGTTCTTAACGCTGTATTTCCTACGTCATCCACGAGAGGACGGCGCTGGACGCTGATTGGCCGCGAGTGCTGCGTCAATATTTGCTGGTGCCCTTCTTTTGAAGCCGAGTCCCATCTGAAAGCAGACCAACTCTCTGCCTGCCTCTAGTATATGACGTAGAGCAGTTAGCTAATAAGGCCGACGTTGTAAAGTCGACCTTGTTGGCTAGAGGGTCTTGGTTTCGCACTGAACCGAGTGAGCGCATGCATGAAGCTTAGTTCCGGAACTTTTTACGGCGAGTATAGTGTGTCGACACCGGGTGTTCACGTGTGTCCCTCTGCCCGCAGGAGCATCCGCGGCTGGGCGGCACGCCGCTGGCCATGCTGGCAGCGCAGTGTAACAAGCTGGCCAGCAAGAGTCCGCCTCCTCTGGCAGACGCCGCCGTGGGCAAGGGCTTCCACCCGTGGAAGAAGGCGTCGTCCTCGTCCCAGCCGCCCCACCAGCAGCAGGGCAACTCGTCCTCTTCGTCGGCCAGCAGTCCGCCCCCGCCCGTGCCGGTGTCGTCGTCCGGGGGACTCGGGCCGCAGTCGGGACACCCGTCCCAGCACCCTAGGCTGGGACACTCGGGACCCTACCAGCACAACCACCAGCGGTCGCCCGGTGAGGACCGCAGTCTTGTACAGCGGAGCTGTTATGAGGGCTAGTTTCCCCAGGATCGTGTCCGGTACCAAACAGATGTCGACACCCGTGGTCGACACAACAGTTTGGTTGCCGCCGTCGCTCATAGATGGCGGTAGCTGTCCAGAGTGTTGTTTGCCGGTTGTCTGCTTGCCGCCGTCGCTCATAGATCCCGGCAACCTTTCCAGCCTCGGCAACCAGACAACTGGTTCCTGCCGTCGCTCATAGATGGCGGTAACATTTCTTCGGAGTAGGCTGGGACACGACATACGTGACCACCCGTTTCAAAGGGGATAGCCACAAGCATCATCATCATCATCATCAGTAAGAAGAGCGGGAACGGAACGAGCGGCGATGTGCGCCGCAGCGCGAATGGTTCCGCAACCGGCGCGAGGCCGCTATCGCCTCAAGTTCCACTGCGTGGAGCGCTTCAGATTCCCTTGCAAGAGAAGAGCAGATCGCTCGCCTGGAAAGCCACCGCCGAGAACAGAAGCTACAGCTCCGCTGCTCTTCCTTCTTCACCAGAATTGAAAAGCTGAAAGTTTTTTTTTTTTGTTTTTTGCGGCCCTGACGTCACGCCGTTTCGGTGGCGCTACTGTGGCCACAGCTCATGCGCAAACGCTGCGTGTCGCGCGAATCTGGTTTCTGCGCACGCGCGTGCTGCCCCCACCTGGTGCGCACAAGCGAAGGCTTGCTCATAAACGGCCCGCTGGCCTGTAGACACGAGCTGCGGACACACTGCATGCGAGTGCATCATACAAAAACCGTCTGCTGACGAACTTCGAAACACACGTATGTCTTTTGTATGATGTTCGCGCAGTGAGACTGGATTACAGAAACACGGAGCGTGGATTTATGAAGTTCACGTTTCCTGAGCTTTGAGTCGTTCTTCGGCGATCTCCCGTTCGAGTGATATATATATATATATATATAATATACACAGATGCAATATGCCGGGTGTTTTATTTCAATTCGACCAGATTATTACAAACTATTCGTAAAACATGCACTAATAAGGTTTGTGCAGGTCAGTTATACAGCCAGGGGACTTTATGTGGGTGGTAATCTTTGCAATAAGTCGGCTAATTAACTAAATTCTTTAATTAACTTTTTACTTTGTAAAAATAATCATATGGTCATAATTGGAAACATGCCGAGCGTAATCGAAAACCACTAAATCAACTCTTTTCAGAACGACTAGAAAGAAGCTCGTGGGAAACTCGGGGACGCACCAAAGTTACCACTCGACCAGCAGTCGGAAAAGTAGCAGTGGCGGAACACAGTGATAATCTTATTAGCGGAAAACAAACAGCGCAAGGACAAGGAGTAGAAGGCGGTAGACACACACAGCGCTGACTTACAACTGAGCTTTATTGGCACTGACAACCTGTATAAATACACAATTTGCCCTGCCCAAAAGCCAAGAAAAGAAACACAAGAGGAGGACTACACGTGTTCCTAGAGTCATCTGCAGGCGCCGTTGCTCTCCGATCTGAGTAGAAAAATACACTCCTTTTCCGTCAAGGCAAGTGACGGGGCACAAACACACTCAGAGCCCGATTGTCCAATGGCGCGGGCTTCTATAATCTCACGTGTCAGTTTATCTTTTTGTTTACTGATGACCGTGCATCGTTCAAAAACCGGAGTACATCCGCAATCGCGGCAATGCACCCCAAGGTGCCCCGACACAACCTGAGACACATTATATCGATGCTCTCTTAAACGCTCATTAAGACAACGTCCCGTCTGCCCTATGTATCTCCGGCCACAGGACAGGGGAATAGAGTAGACAACACCCGCAACGCATGTAACATGCGTTGCGGGTGTTGTCTACTCTATTCCCCTGTCCTGTGGCCGGAGATACATAGGGCAGACGGGACGTTGTCTTAATGAGCGTTTAAGAGAGCATCGATATAATGTGTCTCAGGTTGTGTCGGGGCACCTTGGGGTGCATTGCCGCGATTGCGGATGTACTCCGGTTTTTGAACGATGCACGGTCATCAGTAAACAAAAAGATAAACTGACACGTGAGATTATAGAAGCCCGCGCCATTGGACAATCGGGCTCTGAGTGTGTTTGTGCCCCGTCACTTGCCTTGACGGAAAAGGAGTGTATTTTTCTACTCAGATCGGAGAGCAACGGCGCCTGCAGATGACTCTAGGAACACGTGTAGTCCTCCTCTTGTGTTTCTTTTCTTGGCTTTTGGGCAGGGCAAATTGTGTATTTATACAGGTTGTCAGTGCCAATAAAGCTCAGTTGTAAGTCAGCGCTGTGTGTGTCTACCGCCTTCTACTCTGTCCTTGTCCTTGCGCTGTTTGTTTTCCGCTAATATGAATGACCAACTAGCCCAATCGTCAACACTAGTGATAATCTAATCATCCTCGTTTTGCTACTGCTAGCTTTGCGCCTGCTGAGCGAGTGATAATTTTGGGGCTCCTCAAACTTTTCCACGAGGTTCAAGTCGTTCTAAAAAAAGTTGATCTAGTGGTATTTGATGATGCTCAGTAACCTTCTAGTTGGAACTATGTCTATTTTTACTAATTAAAATGTTAATAACGATTTTTAGTTCCTTATCCGTCACACATGGTGTATGTAAATACTCATGTTGTCTTCTATGGTACTGTAAGAACCTAAATAAAATAATTTAGATCAATCGCCAAGGGTTCTCTAACTTCCATGTCCCAGTGCAGACAGATATTAAAGGGTGAACGCACAGAAAGAGAAATTTTCCTAAGAAATAAGGGCAAGGATCAACATTGGTGAGACAGTTGTGAGACTATTTTCCAATAACTTATTCAGCGTTCAGCAATGCAAAAGCTAAGGTTATTGTAGGCTTGTTTTGCATTTTTAGTCAGACCAGTTGCGAAAGAGAATGTCCTCTGACGGTCAGCTGCAGGGTCTTTCGGTAGGTGATGTCAAGAGCAGCAAGAACCCACTAGCTACGAGCGTTGCTGCTCGAAGTTAGATTTGAGGCCAGGTTGTTGCTGTTGCAAATTATTCCAGTTTTGAGTGAGCGTGCCTGCATCTCTTGACCACCAAGCTTGGTTCGAAGGCTTCGAACTGCGTGCTAACATGAACAGTCAAGACGGAACATTGACTAATCTTTTCTTGCACGCCGTCTTCAGGCTCTGCGGCGTCCACGACGACCGCCCCGTGCAGCTACCCGTCCGAGTCGCTGTTCTACCCGGGCGTCTCGTCGGCGTCCTCGGCGGCGTCCAGCGGCGAGTCCCTCCTGGCCAAGGTCGAGCCCCTGGGCCGGATGTACTCCCACGCGTACTGCGAGAACTGGCCCTTCCCGGGCGCGGCCCACATCAAGCCCGAGGTGCCCGCGAACGCGTTCAACTCGACCCCCTGGTGGGAGGTTGGCGCGGCGACGGGGGGCTCTTGGCTGGACGTGTCCGCTGCGGCCGCGGGCCACTCGCAGCTGCCCAACGCGTACGGTGCGGGCACCGACTACGGCCTCGGCTCGGGCCTGACCGGCGGGCCGCTGCTGGGCTCGTCCCCGCTGCTCCAGGACACGTACAAGTCGATGCTTCCGGGGCAGGGGGCCCCCGGGGTGGGGTCGCCGTTCTCGCTGGCGCAGCCGGCGCTGCCGCAGGTCGCCGCCTCGTCGCCGCGCTCGCAGCGGAGGTACACGGGCCGCGCGACCTGCGACTGCCCCGACTGCCAAGAGGCCGAGCGGCTCGGACCGGCCGGGGCCCACCTGCGCAAGAAGAACATCCACTCGTGCCACATCCCGGGCTGCGGGAAGGTGTACGGCAAGACGTCGCACCTCAAGGCCCACCTGCGCTGGCACACGGGCGAGCGGCCTTTTGTCTGCAACTGGCTCTTCTGCGGCAAGCGGTTCACCCGGTCGGACGAGCTGCAGCGGCACCTCCGCACGCACACGGGCGAGAAGCGGTTCGCCTGCCCCGTCTGCAACAAGCGGTTCATGCGCTCCGACCACCTCAGCAAGCACGTCAAGACGCACAACGGCGGCGGCTCGGGAGGCGACAAGAAGGGCAGCTCCTCGGGAAGCTGCTCCGATTCGGACAACTCCCAGAGCGAGGCGCTCACGGGCCCCAGGCTGGGCGCCCCGGGGCAACCCGGGGTCGCCCTCGGGGCGCACGTGCCGCTCGGCGTCATCGGCATCGGCGTCCCCCCGCACGGGGAGGGTCCGGTCCATCGGCACAAGTGACCTCCTTGCCGTCGATGACTTGGTCGGCGGGCGTTCCGCCGGAGGATTCCGGGCGGCGCGCCGCCGGCGTCGCCGCTGCTGCTGAGGAACACGTCGGTGCGCTTCGGAACGTTCGGGCAGCTGCGGATGCAGGGAGGATAGTCTCCGATGAAGGGCCGAGCGGCCCGGGGGTCAGCGCTCTCTCGAAACTCTCTGTCTGGCACGCTCTCGGGGTCGGGCTTGCGGCAAGCGACGCCTTCTCAGACCGCAGTCGATGATTAGTCCTGTACGCGAGGAGGAATCAGAACGTAGTACGGATCGGGCTGAAGCTCACGCAGGCTGAAACTTCAGGACGCTTGAAAATCAGATAGCGTAAACCCTAAGCAGGCGACGACACGTTTTCCTTAAAATTCAAATTTCTTCTTCACATAACGTGACCCTGAAACGAGGCTTTTGCACAATTTTTTAGCTTTTTATTTGTGTTTTTGTTCTTAGAGTCATACGCATTACTGTAGGCGAATCGGATGTGGCAGGAGCAAGTATTTCGTACTGAGGTATGTGACGTACTTTCGCTGATTAATTCCATCGATTAAAAGGTTTTATTTAGGCAGAAAACAGTGGCTTAGGAATTCATGTTCAGTTCGTACGTCCATTAAAAACAAAGTGATTTCGTTTCATGCAAGATAATTTAACTCGGCCTTAAGAAAAATCGTCAGTCAATATTTTCTTTTTTTAGTTTTCTCAGTTTACACAAATAGAAATATTTGTAAACACTTCAAGCGCGTTTTTTTTTTTTTCGAGATGCCTAAAATAATTTTATTTTGCGTCCAGCGTCCAGGATGGTACATGATTGTGTGGAAGGCACCGAAGTTATTAGATCATCTATATTTTTTCAGGCCAATGTCAATATGTCTGCCTGGCAAGTTTTGAAGATGCGACTATGTAGGGTTCTGCCGTCTCAGGGAAATTCTTTCAGAACACGACAGATCATGGTATGCTAAGCCGTGAAGACTAGAAAATAAATTTAAGCCAACGAGAACCTCGCTTTTATTATAACGGTTTCATCTAAATTTAGAGTTTTCCTAAAGAATGACATCTAAACTTGTTTTGCTCGGATATTCCAAGAGGCCGATACGGGTTTTCAGATTTCATATTAGCACACCAAAATTTTCATCTTTTAGATTTTAGACAATCTGGATTTCGGCGTTTAACGAACACGAGTCTGTGTAGTAGGGCTGGTGATACGGTCGGTAACTCATAATTAAATGATGCCCGGTTTACGCCGTAAACCGTCCGCTTTGCGCCGTTACACGAAGTCATTAAATTGTCCTTATTTGATAGACAAAGCTCTGCGGTAGCCAAGTCTACCCAATCGATCAGCTGTCGGGTGGTCTGAGAACGGTCCAGATCTTCAAATCTCTAAAACAACGGTGAAGCCCGACCCCCCTTTTCCCTCACGGCGCGAAAGCTTCAGGGTGGCTCGCCTCTCAATGTTGCCATACTCTTTCAAGCTGACTCTGACTCCGTGTGTGCCTGAGGACTGTTGTGACTGCTGGCAACACTGTGCGTGTATGTGTGCTGTGTGAAGCGCGCGACGAAGACTTTTTTTTTGCCCGACGACAACTGAGGTTTTTGTGACCACTGTGTTGTTTGTTGGCATGTGTGCGCGCGACCTTAGTTTTTGTTTTCATGAGTCCACCTTTGTTTTCAAGTATCGCGCGAATTTTCGCGCGGGCCATGTTTTTTTTGTATTTTCTTCGAGTGTTATTATTATTTTAGTTATTGTAATTATTATGTTGCTGTTTTATCTTATTTTTAGGGGAAAACACGAACGATTAAGGTACTACGCGATGTCGTAGCGCAAGCTACAATAAAAAACATAAAAAGAAACGACGTAGTCTTTGAGAAACAAGTTCTGCCGCGGGTGCGTTTTTTAACAATGTTGTTTTGGCTTTAGTTTTTATTTTTTGAATCTGACATTTCGCGAACATTGTTGTAAATAGTGAGCCACAAAGAGGGAGATACTTGTGAAATTATGTAAATTTCAGCTCGTCCCTGAGTGTGTGGATGTGCGTGCGTATGTGCATTGTGTATTATGTGCCCAAAATCATCGCGACAAAATTTGTTTTTCGTGAGAATAAACGCGAACTCATGTTTTACAATACTCAATTCTAATGGCAATTATCTTGGAGAACATGAATAGAATTTAGCTTTCAAACTACAAATTTTCGAAAAAAGCAAACTTTGTCCTATCGGTTACTATTTTAGTAAGATGTTTGTTCGATGAAATCTGGTCATTCTGTTTATTTTTTTTTATGGAAATGTCAACTTGATCGTGCGTACTCACTAAATGTCGTGTCTTCTAAATCACTCGCAGAATTTGAGTTGTTGTTGATGTTATTTTTCTCCTCGCAAGTGTAATAATGCTAAGGATTGATGACAAACTCTAGTAATAATGACCAATGACAATAAAAAAAAGAGGAACTTGTTCGTACAGAACGTACATCCAAGGTGTAGTCATTTGTTTATTGATGTCGAAAACAACGAAAGCCGCCACACTCATCCTAAGAGCGATGCACTTGAACGGCTGCTAAATAAACTTGCGTCCCATAGCTCATTAACTACTCATTAATGCACTACCTGATTAAGGCTTTCTTTCTTTATAACGGCCGCTGAATAGAGTCCGAGACAGTGTTGGGAAGCGATACCATGGCCAACTTTCTGGAAAATTCTGTGGAATATAAAGTTTTCAAGGAAATATCAAAATTCTAATTGATTTGAGTTCTATGATATCGAGGCGATTGCAGTCCTCCGGAATATTACGATCTTTTATCAAGAAAGGCAGAAATTGAAAATTTTGTGCAGGCAACATAAAGAATTCAATAAAAAAAAATGGCAGTGGCGTGGAATATTAGTTATAGACGCCCAAAAGTTTGATCACTGCTTATTAATATTTTAGGACTGTCGTCTAAAATATTTCCGGGGAATTTTGCGATGTTTTGTGTTGCTCAGATGAAAATATAATTTTAGTGCATTTAGCAGAGAAGTGCTGAGCTTAGATCTTCAAGAATGTTGGGGATGACCATTACAAACGCGTAGGAGCTGTGATGACATATTTTCAACATGCATAACAGAAAATGTGCTTTAGATAGACCAATGTTTGCTCTGTACCATGGGCGCTGCCATGTTTGTTTATTCTGATGCCATTACAGAGTTAGGGAAAGCTGCGCTTTTTGCAAGACTCCGTTTTTTTTTTTCTTTTTAGAAACCTATGCACATATCGCAGTGCAAGAACGCAGGAAATTCATAGTCAGAAAGCACAAAGAACAACACGGATGCTAAGAGTGATGCAAAAAGCCGAAAAACTTCCTTTATGCGCAGCCCTTCTCCCAAGTTCTCACAAGTGCCTGCGCTTGAGATTATTAATTCCCAATTTTTATTGTTGGGACCATAGAATTTCGGACACCGGTGTTTAGCGACCTCGAAGACCCTTTAAAGGAGATTCTTTTGAGAAACCGAACGCAAACGAAAACCAACATACAGACAACTCTCTAGGTGATTGGCTCACCACTGTCGGTTGCCATGGGGATCGCCATTTTGGACCCTTTCGAAGCTTCGAGAGGGTCGTTAAGACCAGACACACCAAGATCCCTACGAAACATCATCGCACTGAAAGCGTTCCTCGGCCAATATGAGCGTGTTTGGCACTGTGCATTCAATAAACTTATCACTCATGCTTATTTTCCCAGATCTCTTACAATTATGTGGCTCTTCCTGCGTGTTGCAAGACAGCAAAATTGTTTTTCAATGCACCCAAGCACCGACGCCGCGTGTGATGCCGTGCATCTTCGTATCGCCATCACACGCAACATCAGTGCTTGGAGGCATTGAAAAAATAATTTTACTGTCTCGAAACACGCAATAAGAGCAACATAATTGTAAGAGATCTGAGAAAATAAACATGAGTGATAAGTTTATTGCCTGCGCAGTGCCAAAGACGCTCATATCGGCCAAGGAACGCTTTCAGTACGATGATGCTCCATAGCGATCTTGGTGCGACTGGTCTTGACGGCTCTTTCGAAGCTTCAAACCTTCGAAATGGTCCGAAATGGCGATCACCAAGGCAACCAACAGCAATGAGCCAATCACCTTGAGAGGTTTTGTCGTCTCTGTTGGTATTTGTTTGTGTCTGGCTAACCGATGGGAAGGCAATGGCGGTACTTTCCCAGATCCAGTGACTTTAGACTGCGCGCGTTCTCAAGTCGCCGAAGTGTTATCGAAGATTACAAAGCACATCCTGGAAGCAAAGTTTCTAGTGCATTTCAGATTTGCAACCAAAAAAAGACATCATGGACAAGAGCTAAAGATAATGATTTAAGAACCTTAACTGAGGTACACTCGGCAGCACGAAAGGTTAGACGGGCATAATAAAACCAAGTGACCAACATGCGAAGTATATTTTACAGGTAAGATGCAATTGAAAACGGCAATTTTCAAAATTATTAAGAACCGAGCGTGTTGACGAGGTTCGATTTACAAGCGAAAAAATAAACAAGTAGGACAGAGCAGGTACAGAGCACCAAATTGTTCAACTAGCCACGAACAAGGAAACAAAAATACTTTTGAAGACGTCAGCAAATTTTTAAAAAAGAGAGGTAAAAAACTGCCAAAAATGCTGAAGGAAAGAGAAATGTAAGGCCGGGAAAAAGATATAACTAAAATATGCGAATTTTGTGTTTCGAAAGTACGATTAAAAGCTTAATAACACAGCATCACGTCGATCTGCGGCACACTTCACACACCGATGGGATACTTTGTTTTTAAGCTCATAATATCATTTTCAAAACAGAAAGATTGTGTATTTTAGTTTTATGTCTGTTCGCGTTTGGCATTTCCTTTTCCTTGAACGAACGAACAAGAATCATAAAGAACCACGCCCCAGTAGTCTCAACAAATCTTGAAAAGAGATGGATAAAAAATTATCCATCTCTTTTCAAGATTTGTTGAGACTACTGGGCGTGGTTCTTTATGATTCTTGTTCGTTGCTTGTTGCAAGATGAGATTTCTGCTCCGCCCTTTGTGTTTATTCTTTCTTGTGTAAATTGAACAATTTTCCGATTGCAAGTGGTTTGTTAGAGCGACCGCAGTAATTAATGGCCGTGTTGTTTTGAACGTATGGACAAAGCACACATCATTAAAAAGTTAAAGTTCATAAATTGCAATTGTAGCTAAATAAATGTAACAAAGTAATCAACTCAGGGAATGGCATGCCTGATATGTCACAGGGAAAAGCACAGCAGTTTAGGCTACACCGTGCAAATCACCTTTTTAATATGCAAGGCCAGAACCTTGGGCCCGTATGATCTTTGATCGTTTGCAAGCAGCTTCGCTCTAAAACTATACGGCGAACAAGTGTTCCAAAATGCGCCTTTGGCACATCGGAATGCAAAGAGGATATCCCCAATGAAAGGGCAACATAGAGAAGCTGTACTTCTAGAGTTGTAAACCACAGTCATAAATATGGGTTGATATTATATCTACGTCCAGTTGTCGTCCGAGATATTTGCAGTGGCATTTGACAGAAAGGAGAATGTATTTTTTTTATAGAGTTATGGTTGCATAGAAATAATTTCAGTTTTATTTCAATCCATTCATCAAACCTTCATATGCAGAACTGCGTTTTATCAGAAATGCAGCAGTCGTCAACTTCAATCTCAGCCTTCCTGCCACGCGACGCCGTGTCTATCGTCGCCACGTCTTGCTTTCATATAGACAACGTTTTTTCTTTCTTTTTTTAAAGCTGTTTGTTTTAAACCTTTCACAGCTGGCAAAGTCTTGTCGAAGCGTCTGGGGTAGGGGTGCGCAAACCGTCGTTCGAAACGAATAGCGCTGCGTCATTCATCGCCTAAACACTTTTAGGGGGAAAAACCGCTCTCTTTGTAGTGTTGACGCCAGGGATGACGCTTCATTATTCCATTCCAAGCAGTATTCCAAACGCTCTATGGCCCGTTGCAACTCCAGAAGGTGAGACGAGGGAAAGGAAGACCGGGGAGGAGGAAGCATACGTAACGCTGGAGAGGAGAGAGGGAAACTTCCTGCTCTCTCCAGCGTTCCGCGCCTGCTTTCTCCTCGTAGGCCTGCCTCTCCCTCGCCCTACCTTCTTCAGTGTCAACGGACTATAACTTACTCCGCATAAAGAAAAAAAAAGAGTAGATATACTTCGATTCAGCTTCGGTCCGAGCGCGGCCGATGTTATGAGCCGAAGGGCCAAGCAAACAGCGAAAAATGTGCAGCGTCATGGCTGCTCTCTGTGCCTGATAAGACTAGCCGGCGGAGGAGCACGCACAGAGACACGGCGAATATCGGCGGGTCCTATCAACTGCAGAGAGCACGCCATGACGGTGCGCTATTTGCGCTGTTTGATTGGCTCTTCGGCTCATAACATCGGCCGCGCTCAGACCGAAGCTGAAACGAAGTATAGTAACTGTTTGCGCGATGAGTGGCTTGAATAAAGGAGCGCTGGGCCACTTTTATTGTCCACGGCGCCAAGTGAAACATACTGTGGAAGCGACAGGATTGATATTGCAATCTGCGTTTTTCAGCGCGTCTCATCGGGCGCTTCTGCCAGACGCCAGCGTTTGCGCCGTGGAGTCAGAGAGTGAATTGGCAGTTTACGGTACTTTTTCGGCAGACGTTGGTTCAGCTCTTATCAAAATCACACAGCGTTACATCCTGCAACTGTAACCATCGGTTGCTGCGACGCTTTTGACCGCACATGGGTGATGCTTATACTGCATCAAGCAAGCCGTCGTCCCCAAACAACTGGCCTTCTCAGTTCACGCCTTGTGGCTTCGAGCATCCCATGGTGAGCGTGCGCCGATTGCCGCTTGCGACTTTCGCCATATAAAATGGCGTCTTCGGTTAAAAGCCTCCTGCATCTGTGTCCGCTGTGTCCTGGCGAATTTATGGCTCCGGTAAGCGCGCAGTGAATCGTTTCCGCATCAACGCGTGAAATTCTTTCGGGGGCTTAGGGCCCTCGTACCCCTGTTTCACGGGCCCAAAAGAGTCTCCAGAACAAAATCCTTTAAAGAATCTGCGAACCATGCGCTGACCGAGATCGTGAGTTGATTCGCCGATTGTTCAAATGACATCGTTTTGAAAGCCTTTAACGTGCCCGTAAAACAGGGGCTCGGGCAGGTAGAAAGCTTGCACTGGAGGCGGGATTATTGAAGAACCTCCCTGCCCTTGTCACTTTCTCAAGGACTTTAACCGTGTAGCGCGTTCCTTTTGAATCTTCTTAACGTGATCTTTCTAACGAAGTACCAGCATTGGAGGAAGCCTCTATTTAGCCTCTTGAAAAAAAGGCTTGTAGCTTGCTAGCTGTGACCAAAACTCCTAGCGATCGAAACGGAATACCTTTATATCGCTTTTCGGTCGTGCATCACCAAGCTCGTTCACCTTTATATACATTTGTGTGATGAATCGAGCGTGAAGAAGTTGAAGGT